TAAGTTATTACTTAACTACTACACTACGTACTACTATAGTNTATATATATTAATAAAGTAAGTAATAATTATATATATATATATATATATATATATATATATATATACGTATATATATATGTATATATATATATACGTTGATAGTGCGTAATCTCCATGTTTTATACAGGTCAGCTGCAGACTGAGGATGGACATTGGGCGGGTGACTACGGTGGACCCATGTTCTTGCTGCCCGGCTATGCCATAGTCAACTACGTCACAAAAACACCTATCCCAGAACCGAACAAGGCCGAGATAGTTCGGTATTTATCTAATCTACAGAACGATGATGGAGGGTATGTTTGTATAGGCCTAAATGCGCAAGCCTGAGCAAGCTCGTTATATGGCCACGTGTACCAAAATAAGCACCTACGCCGCGACCAATACCAAACCCAGCTCACTGTCAAGCACAATTTCAGTACTAACAGTGGTCCATTTTTATCATCGTCGTCGTATATGATCTCGGCTGCTGCTAGCTCTCGGACATCCGCAGATGCTGAACCAAATATGTACCACACGGCTCTCTCACAGCTGCATGGTCGTCCAAAGACTACCCTATAGCCCTGCAATGCGATGGTTCATGTGTGTGTGTGCGGCAAGTGTTATCCGTTATTGTTTACTAATCTTTATCCCTACATTCACTACCAGTATCGAAGGATAGTGGGAACTGAACCAACACCCTGTAAATGTACCATACAGACCCATCGCACACACCCACGCCCGTTCCACATCGGCAGTCGGTCTTTATTTGTGCATCAATAATCTTGTGTGCCAAATCAAAGACCATTAGACAAGTTCTACTGTGTGTATGTTGGGGTTCTTACAATAGCAAGTATATTTGTGTGTTTCACACACACACACACACACATATATATATATTATATATTTATATACTTCGACATTCACTCAATTCTCGTGGATGTACAGACATACCTCTAATCTGCATGGGGTCTATGCCCATGTAAGCCTATACCTTTAAACCCTAATACCCTAAACTCCTAAACCTCTTTAAACCTCAAAACTCCAATTAGGTGACCATGCGCATTTTATGTTTTACTCGAGTTATCGGCCGTATACCTGTGATAAGTGAACTTCATTACCTGTATTCATATACTTCTATTTTTTTCTATTTTTTTCGGCCATAAAGCTGGGGCTTACACACGGCATGCGCCTCCACAGTAATGGGAACGTCACTCAACTACGTGACTATGCGCATACTGGGGGTTGCCCGTGAGGACAAGCGCATGGCGAACGCACGGGAGTGGCTCGAAGCAAGGGGAGGGTGTTTGGGTATCCCACAGTGGGGCAAGTTCTGGCTGTCGGTGATGAATGTATTCCAGTGGTAAGTGAGTAGTAGACAATTAAGGAGGTGTAGTGTTATCGGCTGACTGGATAATTGTGCTTAAAGGGCTTGTACAATTCACAATGGGGAAAGCTCTGGCTGTCGGTGATGAATGTATTCCAGTGGTAAGTGAGTAGTAGACAATTAAGGAGGTATCGTGTTATCGGCTGACCGCTTGTGCTTTGAATGGTTGAGCATCCCAAATTGGGGCAAAGTTCTAACCGTTTGTGAGGAGTGTAGTTCAAGTGTAATCCAGTCCAGGACAATTGATGAGGTGTGGTGTACTTTGGTGTATATCGTGCTTTAAGCGCACGGACATCCCACAACTGGGCAAGTTCTATATGTTGGTTATGTACGGACTATTAGCATACTACACGCTAGCCTATCATCTGTATTATAAGGAAAAGGTGCAAGTTACAAGTTACAGTGTGGCAGAGATAACTGGTCAACACCACACTGTCACATTAATGTGCTCTCCGTAGGCACACTTTCCAATGGAGTGTAGGTAGTAGACAATACAGGTCACAGGTGTGTGCGTATAGCCTATTTGCTTGCGAGGTGAGTTGTCCTTTTCGTTCGCCTATACTACAAGCGAATAGACACTCTCCGTGAGACTCTACATAACTAAGCATTTGTGTGTGCTGTGAGACTGTAGATAAGTAAGCATGTGAGTGTGCTGTGAGACTGTAGATAACTAAGCTTGTGTGTGTGCTGTGAGACTGTAGATAACTATGCATTTGTGTGTGCTGTGAGACTGTAGATAAGTAAGCATGTGTGCGTGCTGTGAGACTGTAGATAAGTAAGCATGTGTGTGTGCTGTGAGACTCTAGATAGTACGCATGTGTGTGCTGTGTTGTGCTGGTGGCAGTTCATTGAACACCCAATCGCTAGTACGCTCTCCCGAGTGTATAACGTTACGTTCGTGAACGCTTTAGCTCCAGCTGGCCCGTTGACCTGGTATGTGTTGGCGATCAGTACATACGTTTATACGCGTATGTGGCTGTATGTACCCACACACTACTGCGGGTATAGTCCCGCGGCTATATGTATCTGCACTCTACTTCTATAGGCCGCAGTTCACACACTCCCGTGCTCACGTATACCTTTGTACGTAATACAACAATCATTGTTTATGCATGCATGTCTACTCACCCCTGTTGCTGGCGTTTATGTTCAGGCACGGTACTAATAAGGTGTTTCACTGACCCATACACTTCCGCAGGGATGGCATGAACTCGCTATTGCCGGAGATGATGCTGCTACCACGTTGGTTCCCCATGCACCCGAGCCGCATGTGGAGCTACTGCCGTACTGTGTACATGCCCATGACGTACGTGTACGGCCTCAAGTATCAGACAGACGCGAATGATCCGCTTGTGCAGAGTTTAAGAGAAGGTGTTGTTGTTCAGGGGTGCGTGTATGGTGTATATATAGTTCTTTGCGTACGGGGGTGGGCTGACGTAGGCTAACGGTGTATACTTCGTGAGTGAACGACTGCGAATACCACACTAGTGCTAGAAATCTGCCTTGCGGATTTTGAGCTGAGGCATGGATATTATAAATGTTCATACTGTTTACATACATGATTACATATATATATATATATATATACCGTATACATGCTGGTGCAAATAGCGGCGTGTGTGTTGGGCTCGTGTACACATTTTATAAATACGTTCACCTCTACCACCAGCCGTGCTATCAAACTATATATACAGAGTTTGATACATTCTTCTCCTTTTATTGATCTACATACGTGCACATGAACAATGCTGCTTACATCGGCGGACTGTGAAAGCATACTCACACAGAGATATTCGCACCTGTAATAGCCTCCCGAATACCATTGAGATCTGTATTATCAATAGCTGTGCCGTCGTCTGCGGCAGATAACTCGTATAGAGGGAATTACGGATGTACATCACATGCACTGTCTGAGTATTCCAATCGTTTGCAGACGCTCAACGGGAGACACCCGCCGTTAACGTGTATTCACAAACGGGTGCACTCGTCTGCTCATTTGCACCTGCACACCACAGAACTGATCTTCGAGCCCTACAGCACGGTAAACTGGGCAGAGCAACGCAGCAACGTGGCCAAAGAGGACCTGTATGCACCTCACACGTGGATTCTAAATATAGTATTCAAGATGTTCAACGTATACGAGGCGATCGCGCCCAAATTCATGCGTAAATGGTATGGACGATGGGAGCTGGGAGCTATTTACTTGGGTTAGTAGTAGGCTATTGATGGTCTAGGGATTCATATACAGGTATACGATGCAGAGTTGCGCATGTTTGGTCTGGTTCACACATATGCATCTACGGCCCAAAGTCATCTGTAAATGGTAAGGGCAATGGGAGCTGGGAGCTATTTACTTGAGATATTGGTGGGCTGTTAATGGTCTAGGTATTCATATACAGGTATACGATGCAGAGTTGTGCATGTTTGGTCTGGTTCACCCATATACATCTACTACGGCACTCCCTTGACTTTGACTTTAGAGGTGTATGATGTCCACGGTGTGGGGATAGCTATACTAATCAACGGTTGTTGATTGTTCCTATTGTAGGCATATGTATACGTTTATCCCTATTTTGGGCATATGTATGTGAGACCGAATCACTCGGGTGTGTTCAGATTGCACCTCGAATAGACCGCTTCACAATAATGTCCCATATATATATATATATATATATAGGGCTCTTGACTGGATCTACACCGTCGGGGTGGAAAAGGAAGACGAGAATACCAAGTACATCTGCATCGGCCCGGTGAATAAGATGATGAACATGTTGTCCGTATACCTAACGAAAGGAAAGGATAGCCACGAGTTCAGGTGTGATAAGTGTCGCCTCTATCACTTCGCTACAGCTGCCTATGGGATGCCTTCCATATGATGAATGTGTATTGTATGTGGTTTTTTTAGCAATATATGGGGTATCTAGTTCATATGATGCTATTCAGCATGTATGATGGGTGTTGGACGTCCATGACATGTGCTGCACTACCAACTCGTCAGACTTATTCATCCGATATACCACATCAGTAAAACCCTTATCATCTATACAGTACTTATCTTATTCCTGTTTAAATCATAAACCACATCAGTAACAGTAAAAGCCTTGTCATTTGTACAGTACTTATCTTATTCCTGTTTTAATCTTATACCACACCAGTAAAAGCCTTGTCATTTATCTTATTCCTGTTTTAATCTTATACCACACCAGTAAACCCCTTATCATTCGTACAGTAACTATCTTATTCCTGTTTAAATCTTAAACCACATCAGTAAATCCCCTATCATCCGTACATTACTTGTCTTATTCCTGTTTTAAACTTAACAACATTTCGTCTATTACATACTGAAATAAATCAGGAGAGGTCTGTTACTGGTACATATCGCACTCAATCGATCCCGTACTCGTATGTGTGGCACACACTTCTCTCTGGATTCCCCACACATCACGCACTCTGATCCAATGTCTATACGTGAATGCACTGTATGGTACACTGAGAAACCACAGCACGAGCCCGGTCACAGCGATAGCAATCTGATTTTAGCACACAACAGAGTAAACAATTCATTTATATATATTCATATATATATATATATATCACAGCGATAGCAATCTGATTTTAGTACACAACAGAGTAAACAATTTATTTATATATATTCATATATATATATATATATATATATGTATAATTCATTTTTTTTAATTGCATACCCTCGTTTGGCCCTACGCCAGACAACACGTGCTCTGTCCCGAGTAATCGCAGTTAACTCTAGCACACATCATTCTTCTCACCCCTCCACACACCCCTTTAATTGGGCCTAACCCAGACAACACGTGTTCCGACTGGACGACTACTTGTGGATGGGCAGAGATGGCATGAAGATGAACGGCACCAACGGATCTCAGCTGTGGGATACCTCCTTTATGGTACAGGCGCTGGTGGAGTCCAGTAGAGTGCGTGCGGAGGAGCGTTTCCACAAGGTGTTTGAGAAGGCTCACAACTTCTTGGATGTTGCTCAGGTAGGTGTAGATATGTGAATTGTCTGGGTATAGATAGGTATATATAAGATATAGATATGGGTATAGATGGGTAGGTATAAGATGTAGATAAGGGTATAAATGGATAGGTATAAGATATAGATATGTTTGTAGATGGGTAAGTATAAGATGTTGATATGTTTATACTCAGATGCTGCGTTCACTTATAAGGCTAGGCTGTTCAGCTCATTGCTGGAAAGATCTCCAGGTAGTAATTGTGAAAGCGCGTGTATCGTTGGTTGGCCTCAGATATCATGTACTCTTGAAT